ATGCGGGACTCGATCCCGGGACTCCAGGATCATGACCTGAGCCGAAGGCAGTCGCTTAACCAACTGAGCCACCCAGGCGCCCTAAGCCAGAACAATTTAAAGGAAAACTGGTTAAGGTATTTTGGGGATGAGGGAACAAACAGACTTCAGAACTAATTTTGAAGCAACAGAGTAGAAAAAGGTATCTGCATTTGTTTGCTTGGGCAGAAACCATGTAGATATAAAGCTTGAATGAAAGATCTCAAACACTAACCTCTATCTATTGTCACTGTTGGGAGATCTTAATATATTTTTCAGCAAAATGTTCTATCACCACTTAAAACACCCCCCACCCTGTAATTTAAATCAGGGGCAACAACTATAGAGTATCTTTACAAGGATCTTGCTCTAGGCCCCAGTTTCTACCATAACAGTCCTGATGACAGAGTGAAAATGAGAAGAAGAGAAGTATGTCATTAAATATGAGTTGTAATAGCAACAATGGATGTTTTTGACAGTGCTCTTTTTTCCAAATTATCTTTTTTTCAATAAGACAAAATGACAGGAAGAAAAAAAAAAATAGGTAAGAAGAGGAAAGCCTAAGGGCGGAAGAAAGGAGAAATGATTTTTGTGGGAAATTAAAAGGACAAAGTAGATGAAGTGTACTTAGATAAGTCTCACATGAAATATCTAAATATTAGCATTAGTTAATTTATAAAGACTAAAGTATTAACAGCACAGTGATCATGGCAAAAAAATTAATTCAAATTATAATGTGATCTGATCCAAACAAGATTCCAAGATTCTACATTACCTTGAAATAAGCATGGTTTTGTCCTACGTTGTGAAGAATGGCTTTCCTCCAAGTTGTTAAACCTTGAGGACTATTACTGAAGAGGATCCTTGGCTCCAAAAATATGACCTTGGTGTGACCAAGCTAATAATAAGAGGAAAAGAGAGAAGATACAATAGAAGTAATATTCTTTTAGCCCCTTCCAAATGACTAAAATTTTTTCAGCCTCATGGAAATTTCTAAAACATGAAGGGTTATCAGATGTTATGTTGTACTTAAAATAAAGGAAAATAGAATGGAATATCTAAAATGTACTCCTAAACCGAGGAAGGCAAGGGGAATAAGACAATTCTACGGAAGAAGTAAATCCAGGACAGAGAATCATGTAGGAGATCTTAGAGATCATCTATCCAACTATGTACAGGGTGTTACTGTGTGCTATGCAAAAGGAAAGAGTTCAAGAGTCCCCCAGCATGTGAAATAATGTGCCAAATGAGATTATCTAGGCATGTTTTTACTATTAGTCTTCTAATGCTTAATATGCTGATAAGGCACACTGTGCGTACCTCAGAATGGGGAGGTGGTTCACTGTGATTCACCGAGTTGCTTAGGTGCAGGACTCTTCCTCCTTATCCCCACACAAATCACTTCACAGAACTACTGTATCATGGAACAGTTTTTTGAAAATGCTGACATTATCCACCTCTCCCATTTCACAGGAAAGCAAACAAAAGCCAAGGGGAACTAGAACCCAAGTTTTCTGATTCCTTATACAGTACTCTTTACACCAGACCCTGCTTTCTTTATCTATGATAAATTATTTATTGTCTTGGGAAGTTTTAATATACCCTTATAATTATCTGAAGAACATGACTTGGGTAACTGGAACAATAAATTTCTAAACAAAGCTAACAGATGACGAAATGGTCAAGAAAGTCCTTCATAAATTAATGACAAACATTAAATGAACATTGTATTTAATCATTTCATGTTCCTCCAGCTTTACTTTTGTAAGAGAAACACTTCACAGTTCATTAACCTAAAGGACCTCAAAAATTTCCCATAAAATAATCCAATTCATCATTCTGATATCTTGGACTTTAATTCTTAACCAGTCTTAGTGTAGGGAAAACAGAAAGTAAATTTGATCTGAGGGTAACAGCAAAGATGGTGGAGGCAAACATATCTGGATATAAATTCTACCTAGGGCATTTAGTGCGTGTGTGAACTTGTATTAGTTAATCACTCACTCTAATCCTCCATTTCTTCACCCATCAACTGAGTTATTAGTACAGCTTTACAGAGTTGGTATAAGGATTAAATTAGATAATACATGAATAGCATTTAGCATCCCGCCTTACATACAGTAATTAATGATACTTATTATTAATGCAAAGTCTAAATTACTAAATTGCTCATCTTCTGCCTGTTAGAAAAAAATACACATGGTGTGAGTATGTGGTCAAATTTATATTACTAACTTTGACAAACACAGTTATGTAAGTAACAGCTAAAGAACTGTGTGCATATGTTCACCAAAATAGAGCTATAAGAATGTTAAGAGAAGCACTATTATAGTAGCTAAGAATCTGAAACAATCCAAATCCCCATCAGCTGTGTAATGGAAAAATGATGGTATAGTCACACAATGGAATACTACTCAGGAATGAGAATGAATACTCTGTCACCACATGTATCAGAATAGACAAAGCCCACAAACCTAATGATGAACAAAAGAAGCCAGACATAAAAGAGAACATATGCTTTGGTTACATTTATATAAAGTTTAAAACCAAAATTAACCTATGCCCTTAGAAGTAAGGATACTGATAACTCTGGGAGAGACACAGAGGGACTGGAAGTGTGGATGGGGAGGGTGGTTCTTTTGCGATGCTAGTCATATTCTGCTTCTTGATCTGGTTGATCTGAGTGTGAGTTACAAAGATGCTATCAGTCTATAAAGACTGAATGATACAGAAGCCATAGTATGTATCCTTTGAATGTATCGTATACTTCAATAGAAATTTTTAAAAAGAATAGCAAGTAATTTAAACGTAGGAAAAGCAGCAGGGTCCAGCTTATTTCAAGTCTGGAGCAGAGGAATGAACCTACTGATTTTCTGACTGTACTTGCCATCATTAAAGTGGATGAATCTCTTCTCTCTTAAGGCTATGAGCTCCTTCATAGCTAAAATATTTACAAGCATGATCATGGCCTGGAGATAGAGATGAGATTCAGTAAAACAGCACTGGCTTGAGTTAAATTACTGAGAATGCTGGGAAGAAAATTTCGTACACAAGTAAAGAGGATTCTTGCTGATTACGAAGCATGAAGTTAAGGCCTTCTGGGCTCTACCACAAAAGGAAAGTTAAAATTACATATTGCAGCTTTAGCTTTACTCATTTTTATTATACGAAGTATATTCTATAAAATTAGAATTTTCCGTATCTCCTTGCTATGTAAATTATGTGGTCCATTTCATACTGAATTATTAATTACCACTAGAATTCTAACAATGCAATATAATAGGACAAAAATACAATTTTCTCCATTTTCTTTAGTTTCTGTTAATGAAATCATTTAATTTCAAGTGGCCCCCATGGTACTGTATGTTTATAGAGGCTCTAATGACAATCTAGTATTGCTGGCACAACAATCTTGGATTTGTGAATTAATTCTAGGTAACAACAAATTTTTTTCAGCAGTCTTCATTTATGGTAGAGAAGTGGAACCAAGAAGATGGTAATTCAGTTAACTAAATATTGCAAGCAAAATCAGTTTTACTAACATAGGATATATACTCAACTATACACACACATATATATATACCCAACCAATTTAGAGTCCTCAAAATAAAAATCATATCCAAAGGAAATCATTACATGTGCAACACATTTTAGTGTCAGCGTGTTTCCTTCATTGACATGAAGAACAAATTCTCCCCTTTCTGGAGAACTGAAACCTGGCAGCCATGTTACTTCACATTCCAATGAAGAGTATGGTTCAACCGTGCCTACAGAGAATTTAGAAAAAACAGACATTGACCACATTTTAATTATATTCATTTTAATATCCAAAATAAGAGGTGGCATAAAAATATAATTACATTATCTATCAAATTATTTAAACTCAAAATATACGGAAACGCTGCATGAGAGATTATCAAATGAGTATAGACCTATAGAGTTCGATTAAAATCTAAAATGCATACTTTATTTTCCAATTTTATTAGGCAGATCAAAATATTTGACAAAAAGAATGCCGATATTTAGCAAAATGTCCCCTTCATATGCTTCCCAACACTGAAATAGTTATGTTAATACACTCATTCGGTTTTCAGAGGAAGGAATTACAATTACCAGAGGCTTTATTGTTTTTAAATTTGTTCACATCCCTAGAGATATCACCTCTGATGTAGCTATTAGTAATTAACAGATTTCTATAATTCAAATGTGTTGAGAACCCAGGAGGTATCAGGCACATTTGGTATGAGCTGCTTCATCTGTTTAAATTCATCATTTCCTTTGGAGTAAGAAAATAATACTTGATGGAAAGAATGACTTAGAAATTCTATTCATCTTAGGCCAACAGAAGTCCACAGATCGGTACTCCATGGCTGCCTTAGCAGGCTGACGATGCCTTCACAGAGCAATGATCCCTCTAGCTTCCTATACTACTGTTCTTTACTATGTGGCTTTCCTCCATGTAGAAAGGTGTCATAGTGTCGTGGTTAAAAAAGCACAAATTCTAGGGTCGGAACCCCTGGTCCAATTTCAGCTCTGCCATTTACTACCTGAGACCTTGGACAATTTACTTAACATATGTCATACAGCCTCCTTAGACATAAACGGGGATAACAGTTCTATGTAACTCAGAGAATTGTAGTAGGGATTAAAGAAGCTAATACATGAAGAAGTACTTCAAACAGTGCCTGGTACGAAGGAAGATGGAGCTAAAAGAAACTTCTGTCCATACCTCATTAACAAGAAAAGCTGGGGAAAAGAGATTTCTAGATATGAACGTTGCTCCCCCAACAAAATGAGGGTCCTCTTGGAAAAGGGAATGGGTATCAGATATGGGCTTAGCAATATCTATTACAATAGGATATGGATATGAACAAATTATTATAGATGACATAACAAATACACAGTGGGCGCAGGTGGGGGGAGCCTAAATTAGCCCAAGAAAGTGGAGGAAACTTCATTATAAGAAGATGGCATCTGAATTGTGAAAAATGAGCAGAAGCTGCAGGAGGACAAAGCCTGGGGGAATATAAAAGTGAAGTGACCACGCTGGAAGAGAGTGGTGTGTCAAAAAGGCTGATTGGAACTTTGACAAAGTAGGTCCTGACGCGATCTATAAAGATTGGCAGGTACTAGACATGGCCAAGGGTGTCTTACTGGAAGACAGTGAGAGTGAACTGCTTGAAGACAAGTGTGAGGATTGAGCAGACTCGAGAGTTCAGTAAGATTAAAGACAACATGAATAAAAACACAAGCACAAACATGAACAGTACCTAATGAAAAAGTCAAATTAGAAGCCCAATTCTATCTTAGGAAACATCAATCCCACTCTTACACTCACCCCCCTACAATATCCAGGACCCAAACCCAAATCCAAAATACATCACACCTCAGAGAGAAAGCACAATCACAACATAAAATTTAATTTAGAACTATTCACTTTAGTTTACAAAGATATAGACAGTGACAGGATTAAACGTATTATTCAGGATGTAAAACCAATATAGCAAAAGGGATATAAGAAAAATAACATAAGAAAAAGTTATTTTCTGTTTTAACAAAGAGGCAAAAAAATTAATTATTATATGAACATTCAGAGCAATAAAAGGAAGATGACATAAGAAAAACCCATGTATATAATATAAATTATGCACACTTTCTTCAATGCTATATGAAATAGATTTGAGTACTTTATTATTTGTGTTCTAAAAAATTCAAAAGTACTTAAAGCCTAACGGTATTACTCAAAAACATTGTATTTGGAATTAAATGTCTTTGTGTTTTGTGCTTTGATTGAAAAATGTAGCAGATGTTATGAACCACCAAAGAAACTGAAACACTAAAATCACCCCTGTAAAAATAAGAATTCTCACAATTACGAGAAGCATAACCAGTGTTCTAGTTCATATTATAACTCCACTTCTCTTTTGTCAAGTCAAGCATCATCACTACATTTCCAAGGCAGGCAAAAGGGGAAAGTCCTACCCATTCAGCCCTGGTTAGGATGGAGAAATACAAGGAAAAGAGCCAAGCACTGTACTTTCCAGACACGCTCGATGCCTTATCATGTGCTTAATCAAACCTATAAAGAATACAGATAATATAACTACCACAATGTGATGACTGTTCAGAATCTCTGAAATGTGCAGAAATATTTTCTCTCCCTTCCCTGATTATTCACTCAGTTTTTCTCTAGTACCGAGGCAGGACTCAGCCTTACCAGTATTAATAACAAAAAAAAAGAGCCTGGTAAAATGAATCTGCCAGATATTGATGGAAGTATAACTTGGATGCTTAATAAATGATAATCTGGGATTTGTTAAATCAATACATGTTAATAAAAAGATTAAATATGGTTATATCAATGACTTCCAACCCTAATGAAGGTACAGTACTACTTTACCACCGTATAGATCCACAAATATATCCATACTAAAATTAAGTGAATTTAAATTAATACTGAAGCTGGTTTGTAACACTCCCTGTTACAAACACCGGTAGACTTACATAAAAATCATGATTTGGAAATGACCGATACTCACAAGAATATAGACCTATGGCAAGATTTCTACAAACCAGTACTTCTCTGTGATCTGAAATATAGTCTATTTAGATCCCAAATGATGAATATTCCTAAATTAGAAATAAAGAGGGAAGAAGGGGAAGGAAGAAGGGAAGAGTGTGGGGAAGGAAGGAGGGAAGGAAAAACAGAGAGAAGTAAGCAGGGCACAAGAAATTGATAGTAGGGATGGCTGGCTAGATGCATGTGAGGCTATTCCCACTCTGAGGACATTTTCAGGGAAAAAAGAAGTCCAAACAGAATAAGCAAATTTTCATAACCAAATAGCTATCTATTTCTTTGACAACTACTCTTTGCCAGTCTTTACGGAAGGACTTTTCCATACATTTAATCTTTATGAGATATATTAGTCTCTCCATTTTACAAATAAGGGAACTAGTGTTATAGAGTACTTTTCTCAAGATCACAAACCTAGCAAGAAGCTAAGACTAGTTTTGAAATCAGGTTTATCTAACCCCAAAGTTTGTTTTACTTCCCATTCATGCAGAAATAGATTTTAGCTGATTATAAAACACCACATGAGTCACTGCCGATACAAAAATCCAGATCCTTCCAGCTAGCTGAAAAGGGATAACATGTACATAAAATGAAGATACTATATAGATCATTCAACTTTTTTTTTTTTTTTTTT